CTCTAAAGTACATCCACAGTTTTAAACTCTTTCCTTTATTATTTTTTTCTCTTTTGTTTTGTGAACAGAATATGTTGCTGCGTGTTTTGTTTGGTGGGGAGCAGAAGTATGTTAGGCTGTCTGACCTGGGCCCTATTTCAGAAAGCCGGTTTAGTGCAAACTCTGAGTAAGTATACCCTGAGTTAACGAAAACTCTGGGTTTTCGGTTTCACAAAGCGAGTTCAGATGAATCCTGAGTGAGTCACTATGACGACACACTCCGTGAAGCTAACCTGCCCCCTAGCAGGTTTACCACAACTAACCCTGACTGTCTCCGCCTCTTTGTCGGAAACCTGACAGTAGGAAGTGTCGGACATGGCGTGCCCCTACCTCGAAGAGCCAGTAGATGTTGAAGCCCAAATTCTCCGCAGAGCTCTCCGCCGGGAGAGAGTGATTAGAGCGCGTTTGGACATTTATCATTTCCTGATGATTTTCTGTGTGAACGTTACCGTTTTTCAGCACAATCTATAATTCATTTGAATAACATCCTCAGGCCTAATATTGCTCATGTGACACATCGCGGACATCCTCTCAGTTCTGTACATATTATTTGTATTGCACTTCGTTTTTTTGCAAACGGGAGCTTTCTGTATAATATTGGTGACGCTGAGCACGTTCAAGCTACCGGTCTGTCGGGCAGTCAGGAATGTTACAGTTGCACTGAAAACGTCTCCTTGCACTCGTCTGTGTGTTCCCCGGTCATAGACCCACAAGATTTATCAAAGAGGGATTCCACAAAATTGCAGGTATCAGGATGAACAAAACTCAATTCTATGATGTGGTGATACTTGAACTACTACTTAATTTTACATTTATTTCAGGGTTCCCAGGCGTGATTGGCTGATAGATGCACTCACATTCCAATCATTGCTCCTTCAGTAAATGAAGGAGACTATGTGAACAGGAATCTTTCCACAGCATTAATGTACAGGTACATATTCCCTGTAGCATTTCAAACTAACAAATTATTTCATTATAGTAATGGATGCTAATTTGTGTTCTCTGCACTGTGAAGATCATATGTGATGCTGCCAACATTATGACAATGTGGAAGCCAAGTGGCCAGGCCTCTGTCCATGACTCACAATTTTTGATGAATGTACACTGAGCACAAATTTGGACATGGTGAGTTGAAATACTTTAAAATATATAAAGACCAATTGCTCAGGGACATTTGAACTGAAGTGTTCCTTCTGTCTTAGAGAGTTCACTGGGCTACTTGCTTGGTGATAGGGGGTATCCATGTTTACCCTATTTGTTACCCCTTACCTGACCCTGAACCGGCCCACAGCAGCGATATAATCTGGCTCATTGCAGGACAAGAGCCAGAGTTGAAATGACTATCGGAATGCTTAAGGCCCGGTTCCAGTGCCTTCAAAGACTCAGGGTCACCCCAGAAAGGGCATGTGACATTATTGTGGCATGTGTGATTCTTCACAACATTGCCACAATTAGAGGAGAACACTGTCCTTCTGAACCAAACATCAGCAGTGATCCAAACCATGAACATCCTGACCCTCCCACGGACATACAAGATGGAAGAGCAGTCAGAGACACCATATGTCACAATCATTTCCTTTGACCCATCACCTCAACATGTTGAAAGAAGAATAAACAGATTTTTTGTTCAACTGGCTTTATTGGTCGCCTGTATTTCCTGTACACAAAGTATTAATAAGTATATTATTATGTATAAGTATATAACACTGAAATAATTCGTCCATCTCTGACCACTTCACCCACCCTTAACTGATGTTCTAGCAGTAAAATCTCAATCTTGGTCTTTTGGATCTGCTGCTTGAAGTGTTCCATTTCCAAGTCACATTTTTTTATTTTCTTGATCAAATGGGTCTTGTACAGCTGCTTTACAGGGAGCTATTGAAACACAGAAAATAGCATTGACATTCATAGTACATGCCTACTTAGGTTGGTTGTAAATCAGTGCTGAACATCTTACTGGAGGAAGGTTGTGGAGCGGCTCCCTCTTCCTCTTCATTTCCATCACCTCTGTTAGAGACATAGAAGTCCATGGTTTTATTATAGTACCACATTTATTCAATTGTTATATTTTCCATTGTAAGATGTAAACCTCATAAAGTGTCTCTGTTGCTCCTCCTCTGTAACAGCTGTCAATGTTCTTCATTATTTCCTGTAGTAAAGAAATTAACAACATTGCTGTTCTACTGTAAACTCATATAATCTGTGGAGTATTAAGATACTCATAACTGCATGTTGGTCTGGTCCAACAGGAGCTGCACCAGATGCAGTACATCACACCATCAACTGATAGAATATGAGGTTTATACAGGTCACTATAACTTACAAGGGACCAATGGCAATTAACAAACATAACCAATCACCTTACACTTCATTGTCATTATGCTCTCAAAGACAACCAAGATGAGGGAAGGCAAAATCAGTAGGAAAATAACTTCACTACAAAATAATTCATTATGGTAAAGAGTTTATCAAATGAATGAGTAGCACTGCAAAGGTGACTGTGAAGAAAGGATGTATGCACATCATGTATTATTTTGAATTTACCTCTTATGTAGGCACTTGTGTCTTGCGGGGTTACTGACTCAGAGGATGTCCCCGCAGAGATGCCTTCAGCCACAGGGCGCCCACTGTTTTGGCTGAGGGCCAACTGCTCAGCCTCTGTGAGTGGTGGTGGTGGAGGACCCCACCTGTTTTTCAGGCCTCTGCTTTTTTTCTGTTGGCTATAACGGGGTCACATTTGAGCATACAGAGTAAGCAAATATGTACTTGTAATGTGCTCAGATAATTTCAATAAGTGCTTACAGAAGGAAAATTAATGTAGCCTCTAACTGCAATTGATTTACATGGGACAAACAGACCAAGCACTATGGCTCATAATACAATTACACCTTACCTGTTTGGACTATATTTTTATATTTCATTTTTACTTGCTGCCAGGAACGTTTGGGGCCTGTTGGGTTGCACCTGCGCTCACATCACGTCACAAAATAAAATGTATAAAATAAAAATAAAATAAAATAACGTGTTAAAGGTGGAAATCCCTAGATCATGTTTTAAGTAACACTCACGATGACTCTGTCGGCTAGTTTTCCATCTGCTCCTTTGTTGCAGCTGAGGCTGTGTTACTTTTTTTCCGCAAAATTTGCATGTTATGCATATGCTGCCATCAGAATTTCGGCCTCAAGCGCTGTAAAATACATGACCGCGCCTTCTTTCCTCCGTCTCCATGTGACTCGCTTAATCTGTGCTCCACTAATCAGGGCTTTATGTATCCTCGTGCCGCGCTTGACTTGGGGTAAAGCAACTCCGCGTGATTGAACTAATTGTATCAGCCTTTCTGAAACCGAATATTCCGAGTTGACAGTTCGGGTTACTCAACCCTGAGTATCGTTTTCACTCTGAGTTTTCTAAACCGGCTTCCTGAAATAGGGCCCTGACATTTGATGCTTTCATGAAAGAAGGTTAGAATATCAGGATAAAACAAGATAACAACGTTTACCTGGTCAATAAACAAGCTTAATTATATTCTAAGTCAACTACCTAAGTTGATAATTGTTTCTACTTCAACAATGAATGAGAATTACCTATATTCTTAAGCTTCATCTCATCAATATTTGTGAAGACATAGCCTTACTCTACCATTTGATAAGAAAATGCATGGCCTTTTTTTTTTTTAACAATTTCTGTAACATTCTTTTCTCTTACCTTACTTCAGTGTGCCTAAAATTTAACATACCAGAAGGCAGACAGCTAGATATGAAGGTGTTTGACCAGTCTGACACAGAAGTAGACGCAGAGGTGTTTGAAGAAATAGTGAAGGGGTCACCTGTAACCTTCCGAGTCATGCTGAGCAATGAAGAACTTGGTAATCACTCACATACGTATATGTTTATATGAAATTTAAAGGTTGAGATTGAAGCATTAACAGTTAAATTTAATGCTTCTGCTTTGGTCATGTTCCTTAATGCACAGGTGTATCTCTGTCATCATCATCTTCTCCATCGGATGATACAATCATTCTAAACTTCACAATGTGTGAACCTCCTGAAGAAGCAGCAACCACTGAAGGAAGACAACCTAAAAGGCCATGCCATATAAACTATGAGGCAAAAGCTGTGGGTAGTGAACATTGTTAGTCTAATTTGCATGTTTGATGTGAAGTGTTTTTATGTAATCGTTTTCCAGTTTTTCTCAAGGTTTAAAAATTTTTGACTTCATATTTTATGTTTATTTAAGTTGATGAAAAAATCCTACAACAAAGCCTGGTGGTGAACACATCATACAAGAGTATGCAAAAAACCAAATCTCTGACAGATGCAACTAGAAACAGATGATAAACATACTTGCTGCTGAGATGACAGAAGCACATGGGTAAGAATCATAAATGTAGTCTATAAAGAAACATTTTTAGTATTGTATTATTTTAATTGTGATGTTCAATGCAATTGAGTGACGGTCATCACTGAATTTATACATAGGACATCTCCCCCTAAAAGTGTAAGAGTGATGTATGCGCAGGGATTGTTGCTCTGTTTCCATATCTGGAAGACCCATATTCACAACATGGATATGTAAGTAAAGGGACTTTGCAACATTAAACACATAGTTTGCCTCAGAAATGTTGATAACATTCTGCTTGTATTTAATTACATAAGACATTACTATGATCCAGAGAGCGGTTCAGGATACCTTGCGTGGCGGTTGAAGACAATTCAAAGAAAAGCTGCAGAGGAAAGAAGTGTCTCACTTTCCAAATCTCCTAAAAGTAAGTTCACTTGTGATTTAATGATTCTGATCTAATTTGTAGGCAGGAGTCAATCAATTGTTTTTTCTTAAGTTGGCGGGCCAGGCCGTGGTCGATCCAGACCACTCACCACTGAGACAGTGTTATCAGATGAGGATGTAAAGCAGCTATTGCTCTTTTGAGACACTCTGCTGATGAAGACACTATCCGTGAAAAGATGAAAGCTACCTTCATTTATCGGCATTCAATGGTCAGCGATGATAAAATGCAGCAGATGTCTTCATAGTCTTCCCGCGGTTTCTGGACACACCAGGACTGGTAAGACATCTCATTTGTTGAATCACTGAAATATCCATGCAGCTTGCAATTTCACTCATTACACCTCTTATCTTCTATTTTGCATTATAGATAGAACAAGATTTCAGACTCCTGTTTGATGAGGTCACTGCCAACAAATTCTTGGAGAGGTGGCCCATCGATCTCAAATCAAAGATTGTAAAGGAAAGTCATGGACTTGTACCCACCTCGGAGCTCTTGGAGTTGATGTGCAATGCTGAGTCAGCTACTGAAGTTGAGAATGGTATGACTGACTGTTTTTATTTGCCATTGTTGGTTATATAGGCAATTCTGTCTATCGAATGTATTTTGGAGTAATCTTGTTTATTCGTCTGTAGGCTGGACAGTGACATGTCTGCTATCTTGCTGCTGCTACATCTGCTACCGCCATCTGCACAAGGGTGAAAGAGACCAGGAAAGATGTCTGCATCTCAAGCTGTCGATAACTCATCAAATTCCTAAAGGTATGTTATTTAAAATATATATTCCATCACCGCCATTGTAATGTACAGTAAGGTGATCTATCTAATGGGATAGTCACTAAATACTGCTGTTTAATGTGTTGTTGTAGGCTGGAACCAGTGTACAGCAGCATCAGACAACATCACCCGAAGCAGTCAGCCCTACCTTCTTGCTCAGGGACCCACAAGAAGCAGCATCCACACCTTCTTCATTGTGATTGACAAGCATGCACTTCCATGTAAAGCGACAGGTTCAGTAGGAGCCCTGATGAACTCTTTAAGGCCCATTATGTCTTGATACGTCATACAGTTCATCCCTGACCAACTTTTTCACTTTTCTGCAAACAACCATTTACAACATTGATGTTGGGGAAACAAGGAAACTCCCAGAGTTGCGAGCAAGAATGGTGCGTTAGTACCATTGAGATCAAAATAATGAAGTGCTTTCTTTGCAAAGTGATCATGGTAACCAAACAGCCTTGTAAAACACCTTAAGGTAATTCATGGTCTCTGTACTGGGAGACACTATATCTCAATGTGGCCAAGTGGGATGCTCACGTTCTTTAGTAGTTTTTCTGGCTTTAGAAAGCACCTGAACAAATGCACGTAAGCAGTTCATTTGATTCTGGCAGAACTAGATTTTCACCAGTTCAAAGTGTTACGGACACAAGTACTACTGCTAATGTTGATGTGGTGCCTGAACATTTAGAGCATAGGTGTCAAACTCTGGCCCGCGGGCCAGATTTGGCCCGCAGCCTGATTACATTTGGCCGCGAAGCCATACCAAATACTATTAGAGCTGGCCTACTGGTATTATACAGTTAATATATATATTGTTTATATTAAGCTTTGCTTGTTCCATATTCAGGTTTTCAGCAAACTTGTTTGAGTCATAAAAAAAGATTCATTCTTATATCTAGAGGAAGATTTTTTTTTTCAATAAATATTAATGTTAGCCGCGACTTTGTTCCAGTTTTGAATTTTGGCCCACTGTGTATTGAGTTTGACACCCCTGATTTAGAGGCTGAGTCGGAATTATCTTCAGCACCTTGTAAATAGTTGTGCAGCTGTTATTTCTGATCTAAGGCAGCAGGTGTAGGCCAAAGTGTAGTGAATTCTGTAGTGAATTCCTTGGAAGAGATTGTTCAAGATATCCAACAACATGCTAAAGAAACAGTCATTAAGCATGTTATTTATAATGAAAGAGAAACAGAAATGTGCAAGAAGTTGAAGCATGTTTTGATGAGTTAGAGATCCTTTTCTCAGTTCTTAATTTGAGTACAAGAGGTCAAAATATTTATCAGACAAGTGGAAACTGTAGAACCAGTTGAATGTGTAATTGCTCAAGATTGACACAAGGCGAAATAAAAAGACTGGAACATATGATCAGGCAGTTGTTCAAGATAAATTCATGTATGTTCCAGTTTTATCAACATTGGAATCAATATTTAAGAGTCAGCATGTTGGAGAAATGTTGAAAAAATCAGACACTTGTGATTCAAGACGCAGAGATATTTGTGATGGATCTCTATTGAAGACACGCCCTCTTTTTTTCAACAGAAAAGCACACAGTTCAGATCCAAATGTTCTATGATGACTTTGAGGTTGCAAATCCTCTTGGTTCCAAGCGAGGTATTCACAAGTTGGGTGCAGTATATTTTACCTTAAGAAACTTCTCTCCCAAATGGAATTCTTTTTTGGCCAACATACACCTTTGTGCCTTATTTCATGCACAAGATCTGAAACGTTATGGTTTTAGTGAAATTCTTGTTCCTATTGTTCGAGACATTAAAGTGTTAGAGAGCGATGGTATTGAGATTCCACTATTCGGTGGTTATGTTCGTGGTAGTGTGGTACAGGTCACTGGTGATAATTTAGGCTTACATAGCTTGTTTGGTCTGGTGGAGTCTTTCAGTGCAAGGTACTGTTGCAGGTTTTGTTTAGCTGATAAAGATGACTTTCAAACAGAATTCTCTGAAGATTCCCCAAAATAGTGTTGCGCACCAAAGACAACCACACTGCTCACTGTCAGGAAATGTCTAATAATCCATTGCTTCCTTATGTTTTTGGTGTAAAGAGTTCATGCTTATTGAATTCACTGACATATTTTCACACAACTGAGAACTTCTCAGTTGATGTGATGCATGATGTTTTGGAAGGAGTGGCCCAGTACAAACTGAAGTTATTGTTTTTGTATTTAAAAGAACAACATCTTACATTGGGAGAAGTGAATTTGAGAATACAAAGTTTTGATTATGGATTCATGGAGAAAAACAATAGGCCAGTAGCTGTGAATTTAGGTGGAGAGTCTAATGATCTGGGACTGAATGCTATTCAGACATGGTGCTTACTGAGGAATGTTCCCCTCATGTTTGGAGATTTGGTAACCTCTACTGACCAACATCGGGGCCTACTACTTTTATTACTACAGATAGTTAACATTGTATTTTCTCCTATGTTATCTCAAGGTATGTGTGTATATTTAAAACATTTGATTGTGGAACACCACAAACTGTTCAAGATGTTGTATCCCCAGAAAAAACTTTTACCAAAGCACCATTTTCTTATCCATTATCCTCGCTGCATCCAAAAAATAGGGCCTGTACTTCATAGTTGGTGCATGCGCTATGAAGGTAAGCACAATTTTTTCAAGAAACTGCTCAAATCATTCAAAAATATCACCAAAACGCTGGCCAAAAAAACACCAGAATTATATGGCATACATTTGGCAATCTTCAACAACCTTTAGTCGGTTAGACATTGGTCCAGGAAAAATGGTGTCTTTAGATATGGTAAAAGGAGGTTCTGGAATTGCAATAGCAATGCAACTGCCCAATAGAGTTCAAGTTATGAAAGTGAACTGGGCTAAACAGAATGGTATTGTTTACCGCCCGCATTTGGTTATTTGTGGCAAAGTAGTGTCTGAAATGCCTGTGTTTTACCAGATTGAGTCAGTTCTGATAATACATGAGAAACTGGTACTTCTCATTTTGCCATTATGTACAGTAGCCTTTCAAGAACATTTCCATGCTTATGAGTTGACCAGGACAAAGCAAGATTTAGTTGTCTTTCATGTTGACAGCCTGCATTATCCCAGGCCTTTTGACATACAATTGTCGTATGGAGTGAATGACAACTGTCATTACTTACTGTCATTTGTAAGAGTTTGTTATGCTAATAAATGCTGTTACTGTAACCTGTATGTTTGTAGTTATTTTCATAATATAGGATAGATCACAGCCATTTAGAAATATAGCATCATATGATAAATATGAAAAAAAATGAAAATGAAATATTATTACACATTAGAGTGAACTTGGACTAAAAATAACTCTATAAAGTGAAATCATATTACTCTAAACAGTGTGAATAACCCTCAGTGTTAAATATTTTTACACATTTTGTTGTTAATTTTGACACTAAACTGAGTAGAATTAACACTAAAAAGTTAACACTGGCCATAGAGTAAATTTTACCCTAATTTTGAGTGGGACCAAATGTTATCTGAAACAGAGTTAAAATCAACTCTCTAAGTGTAAAATTGACAGTTTTTTACTGTGTGGCCTCATATCAAATGTGAAGGCAGAATGAGTCTACGTTTGACGTTTGTTTATATCTAATCTTCCTTTTCAAACATTTAAACAGCAGCGAGTCTGCAGCTGAGGGAACACAAACTCAAATTGTCGGAACAGGTTTGCTCGTTTCTTGGATTCATTTGGTGATTTATTAAATGTATAACTGTTATTCTAATCTGCTGCTGGGTCTCTTACACTTTTCTTTATGCTGTATATTTTCACGTCTCTGGAATAGTTGGCAGTTAGTCAGCTGGGAAACTCTGCATATCGTGGATATGCTGACCTCGCTCCGTGGTGTACAGGGCCGTTTACCCTCATGATTAATATTCACAATAAAATATTAGCCGAACATCATGAAGTCTGTATGTGTTTCATAGTGTCGAACAACCTTGTACAGTTAAAGCCAGCAGTTACTACATGACAGAAACACCACGTTATCTCTTTTAATGCGTTTATACACAGGTCACGCTGATTACTGAACAAAAACCCAAAGATCAGATGTTAAACAGATTTATTTGCTCTCTCTCCTCCTTAAACATGTTTTTAATGTTAGTTATAATTCAGAATTGGCGACTGAAACACGTAGGACACATAAGAACATCAGGAAATAAAACACCGATAAATATAACCTCAGTAAAAGAGTCAGCGGGGTTACTACAGCTGTGTACCGGGGCCTGCGCTTTGTCGGTGGGATTGCTTGCGAGGCGAGCGGGTCTATCCCACCGCTTGCCGTGAGACTGGGCAGACGTCTCCGAATCATCGAAGCACTTTTGCAAAGAGCTGTATCTTGACAACCGACCAGACACATGAAGATTAACCACTACATTCTCGGCTAAAAAAATATTAAACGGTATTGGTGACACACAAACAGGGTTTTTTCAAAGTTCAGTTCTGTTAGCTTCACATGCCGGTTGTTGTGTGCTAGAAACAATGGCCACCAGGCCTAAGCAATGGTTTTGACTTGATCAGCGTTAACCCCGCCCCTGAGTTGATGGGTGAGGCTGACAGATAAAATTATTTCAAGATGAGAGCCAGGCGCCAGGACTGCCAAAATGAAATAACTAAATATATCATTAAATAATTAATTAATGTGTCAATATTAATTAATTAAATGTGTGTTGGCCCTGCGACGACTGGCGACCTGTCCAGGGTGTACCCCGCCTCTCGCCCTATGACAGCTGGGATAGGCTCCAGCGCCCCCGCGACCCTGAAAAGGATAAGCGGAAGCAAATGGATGGATGGATGGAATAATTAATTAAAATGTGAAATACATAAATAATTAATTAAACGTGTCAATAATTAATTAATTACATGTGTCATAACTATTTATTTAATTAATTAATTCCAATTTTAATTAATTATTGCCACATTTAATTCATTATTTAATGGTGTATTTAATTATTCATATGGCAGTCCTGGCGCTCCATAGGCACCAGCGCCAGAGGTGAGGTTGATACAAAGACTGTCCTCTGGACACCGTATAACATGCCCGATCCCAGGCCCTATATGTATGTGTATGAGAGTGTGAGTAATGTGGATGTCTAGTTGTGGAATAAAATCAGTCTGCTGATAAAACAGTGAGCTCAGTGAGAAGATCTTCACTGAGCTGATCCATCTCATCTCATAAAATTGAGGCACAGGTGACCAGGAGGGGACAGAGGGGAACGACCTTTTATTGCTTTTTTCTACAACAATTTCTTAGTTCAGCTGCAGTATTGATATCCTGTAATGACTAAAATGATAATTTAAACTAATTTACATAAAAAGATTGTCTTTTAAATGTTAAGGTTATTTAACAACTTTAAAGGCTGAGCAGTGCTATTTTTAAATGAAAAACTCACAGGCTCACATGTTCCAGGATTGAATTAGTGTCTGATAACCCTCCCTCTTCCTGCTCTCTAACTCAGCACCTCCTCTCTGTCCACATGTTCCCTTGTTCCCTCCCCTTCTGATCTGCAGTTTGAAGATGGGTGCAACAACATGTGGTGACGTATAAGAGCTGACAGATCCCATTCGCTACAGAAACCTATGTTGTTTAGATCAGAGCAGTTTCAGTTCTGAGGAAGTGAAACTCACACAGTCACTGACACTGTTGGGTGAAATGGCGCAGAAAAGTGTTCAGCTGGACCGAGAAACCTTCTCTTGTTCGATCTGTTTGGATCTACTGAAGAATCCGTGGCTATTCCTGTGGACACAGCTACTGCATGAAGTGTATTGAAAGCTTCTGGGATGAAGAGGAAAAGAAGAAATCTACAGCTGCCCTCAGTGCCGGAGGACTTTCACAGCGAGGCCTGTCCTGGAGAAAAACACCATGTTAGCAGTTTTAGTGGAGCAGCTGAAGAAGACTGGACTCCAAGCTGCTCCTGCTGATCACTGCTATGCTGGACCTGAAGATGTGGCCTGTGATGTCTGCACTGGAAGAAAAATGAAAGCCTTCAAGTCCTGTTATTCTGTCTGGCATCTTACTGTGAGAAACACCTTCAGCTCATTATGATTCACCTACATTCAAGAAACACAAGCTGGTGGAGCCCTCCAAGAAGCTCCAGGAGAAGATCTGCTCTCGTCATGATGAGGTGATGAAGATGTTCTGCCGTACTGATCAGCAGAGTATCTGTTATCTCTGCTCTGTGGATGAACATAAAGGCCACGACACAGTCTCAGCTGCAGCAGAAGGACTGAGAGGCAGAGAGAGCTGGAGGTGAGTCGACAAAACATCCAGCAGAGAATCCAGGACAGAGAGAAAGATGTGAAGCTGCTTCAACAGGAGGTGGAGGCCATCAATCAGTCTGCTGATCAAACAGTGGAGCACAGTGAGAAGATCTTCACTGAGCTGATCCATCTCATCCAGAAAAGAAGCTCTGATGTGAAGCAGCAGATCAGATCCCAGCAGGAAACTGAAGTGAGTCGAGTCAAAGAGCTTCAGGAGAAGCTGGAGCAGGAGATCACTGAGCTGAAGAGGAAAGATGCTGAGCTGAAGCAGCTCTCACACACAGAGGATCACATCCAGTTTCTACACAACTACCCCTCACTGTCAGCACTCAGTGAGTCTACAGACTCATCCAGCATCAATATCCGTCCTCTGAGCTACTTTGAGGATGTGACAGCAGCTGTGTCAGAGGTCAGAGATAAACTACAGGACATTCTGAGAGAGGAATGGACAAACATCTCACTGACAGTCACTGAAGTGGATGTTTCACTGTCACAACCAGAGCCAAAGACCAGAGCTGGATTCTTAAAATATTCATGTGAAATCACACTGGATCCAAACACAGCATACAAACTGCTGTTATTATCAGAGGGGAACAGAAAAGCAACATTTATGGAACAACAACAGTCTTATTCTGATCATCCAGACAGATTCATTTGGTTGTCTCAGGTCCTGAGTAGAGAGAGTCTGACTGGACGTTGTTACTGGGAGGTGGAGTGGAGAGGGGGAGGAGGTTATGTAGCAGTCGCATACAAGAATATCAGCAGAAAAGGATTGGGTAATGAATGTGGATTTGGACATAATGACAAATCTTGGTCATTATATTGTTACAACAACAGTTTTATATTTCGGTACAACAACATCCAAACTCGTGTCTCAGGTCCTCGTTCCTCCAGAGTAGGAGTGTACCTGGATCACAGAGCAGGTATTTTGTCCTTCTACAGCGTCTCTGAAACCATGACTCTCCTCCACAGAGTCCAGACCACATTCACTCAGCCGCTCTATGCTGGACTGAGTCTTTACTGTGATTATGGAGACACTGCTGAGTTGATTAAAGTGAAATAGACTGAAGTCTTTCATATTGTTGTAAGTTTAAATCTGTATTTTAGTTCCCTTTTAGTTTCTCTCCATCATTATTGTGGTATTTATGTGCTGCACATAAATCAGATGTCAGTCAAACATTATGGGCAGTACCTCGACATCTTCAACATGTTGTCTTGATGTTTTACGTTTTATAGGTGGAGCTCTTTCCTGTGTCTGTTCAGCCATGGAGACTATCAATGCTTATGGATATTTTTATTTGAAAAATTTCTCCACATGACAACATAAACTTCTCTATCTTCTAAATGTTTACTGAATATTTTCTTATGTATTGTATGTTGTTGTTTCTCTTCACTGATCTTAACAGAGAAGTCTACAGACCTTCCTTTATCACACAGATTTATTCTCATTTGTACATTTATAAAGAAAACAATTAATTACAGAGCAATAAGAAATTTTAAGAAAGTGCACTATATCATAATTTATAGTAAAGTGTATTAAAGCATCGTTAGTTAGTCACTTATTTAGTTTGGAGCTGTATCATCTGACACTGTAGAAACATTTCCTCCAGCTTCAGCACAGAATGTTAAAAACAGAACTATTAATGAGAACAAACAGTAGGAACACAGTATCAGCAAACATCATGGCTTAAAATGGAGAGTAAAAATCTAAAAAGAAATAAACAAATTAGTAAAAAGGATTTCCTGTTGACATGTTATTGGTCCTATCTTGTCTGCAGCACCTCCAGGATGCTTCTTATATGTTTCTGGTTATTTTTGCACCAATTTTAGTTTTTGTCAGTAGGAAGTTCAAGTTCAACTCAGTGTGTTGTTTGTTTTTTCAAACTGATGCCTGACCTTGAACACCAAACATCTGTCAATAAAGCAATGATATAAAATGCTTATATTAGTACTGAAAAACTGCATATCCACTTTACAAATATAAATAATGATATAAATCCACAGCTGAACTGGAGGAGCAGCTGATCTAGTTCACTCATGTGTTTCTGGACTAAGAGTTGGAGCAAATACCTTATGATTCAGTGATGTTTGTTTTTGTTAAATATTTTGTAGATCCAAGAGTGAGTTTGACTCATGATGATGATGTTCCGAATGAAACAAAGTTGGTCACAAATTCTTCAAAGCTGTTTATTAAGAATATATTCACTTGGACTCATGAGACAGGCTTGTGATCCAAGGGAGCCATCAACTGGACAATTACTGACATGACAACAAAAAAGCTAAGTACAGAGGGGGAACAGAGGTGAAAATACTTGCTTTAAAGGATTGTAATGTTTCCTTTTAAAATAAGTCTCTAAGGTCAGACAAAGGGACAGAAACTCATAGCTTTCTACCAGCCCAATGACAAAACTATAAGTTGTTTTTTAACATCTACTTTTCATCTATTTGGCAGTCACAGTGAAAAGTATAAACATTGGCACGCTTTGTCTTGTGATTCTGCTGTTCGTAAAAATGACCATGCGCAAAGTACCAGACTTTAAGGCTTTGACTTGATGCCAATGGCCTGAGGAGGACAGTATTACCCTTGGACATGTGTAGTCTGCCGTCTACTCAATAGAAGAAGAAGAAGCGCGGAAATGGCACAACTGTCTTCAGTTTCTGGGAGAGTTTAACAATGAGAGACTGATGATGCAGAAGAAATCTCCGTGGTTAAAAACATTAAAAACAGTCGTCCAGGATGATGAGATCCGCCACTGGCTCAGACTGCTGTATATCAGCCGGAGACCCGAGATGAAGTCACGCAGCAGGTATGTAAAACTGTGATGTTCTCAATGAACTAACACAGGAACGATCTGAGCTCAGTCTGTAAGCTAACAGGCTAAAATCAGAGAGCAGCTAATCAAACAAGTGCGTCCGTTTTTTTTAAAGGTAAACTTTTAACAATAGACTTTCATGAGACACATCAAAACCAAACAGGGAGGAAAGCTTCGGTTTTCTGCACTGTGCCACAGTTCGCTGTCTGCTTCGGTTCACGACGCCTCACTCCGGGGCTACAGACAGTTCTCTGCCGCCTGTGGTGCTCCTCACCTCCGTCTGCACCCACAGACTTCCCGAGGTGGAGGCAGGCCGGCAGGGACTTTGAGAGATGGGCTTTACTTTTAAAAATAGCCCTTAATCAGGGTCTAACTCACTAAAAGATGGCCACATGTCTCTCTCCAACTTAATCTCTTTCTTTAAGTAATTGTTTTTCATTGAAATGAAATTAATTGTTCAATAAAATGATTACATTTATAATTGAATTAAAGTTAAATGAATCAAGGTGATTTTGACTTTGCTAGTTAACAGGAAGAGAAACAAACTTACACAGGATAAAATGAAATTTGGACCCAGCAGAAAAGTCAGATCACAGACAAACAGAAACATTCCTCTTTGGCTAAAATAAAATGCAGATTATTGCTCATCTGCAGTTTTAATCATGGTGAATAATTTATGATTCAGCCAAGTAAGATTCTTCTGTGTGGAGGTTTTTCCCCTGTCAAAAGGCATTGACCATTACCTTCATCTAAACATGGAATTTAAGTCATGTAGTTGCCGTTGTTTGTTTTTAAAGAGGTCATAATATTTTTGTGATGGTAGAAATTTATCTTCAAAGTAATAGTTATAAAGTGAATTAATAAGACTTTCCAACAAAGAGAGGGAGTCACATGGTGCTTCTGAAACATTTGTACAAACCTCTCTCACATATGTGAGCAACATGCTCACAGTGTACAGCCCTGCTGACTGAGGCTGCACCTTTACCTGTCTAATCTTTTTCTTTTTACTTTGTTCCTCAAGTCCCACATCAACATGAAGTGTAAGGAGGAGGAAGATCTGGCTGGCCAGCAGGTCTGGAAGCAGGAGAGGAACTTCAATCTGGACCAGGAGGACACAGATCCCCCACAGATCAAAGAGGAACAGGAGGAACTCTGCATCAGTCAAGAGGGAGAACAGCTTGTAGTGAAACACGAGGATGAAGGCATCGTCGTCTGGAGCGGGGAAGAGCGGCTCAGACAGCTGCATAACATCTGGAAACCTGAGAAAGATTTACAGACCAGCGGTAAAACTGTAATCGCTTTTCTGAAGTGTTAACATTAATATTAAACCTACAGTTTGTATCAGTCAGATCTATTTAATGTGTATTCGTGAAAACATGACAGGGAGTTTTAAATGGACTGGTTCTTATATAGCGCTTTTCTACTCAATCTTGAGCACTCAAAGCGCTTTACAAAACTTGTGCATTCACCCACTCACTCCCATTTGCACAAGCACATTTTTCTTAGTGCTTTCTACCAACATTCAGACACACATTCCACAGATCAAAGAGCAACTTGAGGCAACTTGGAGTTAGTATCTTGCCCAAGGATATTTGAAATGCAGACTAGGTGAAGCCGGGAATCGAACCGATCAGTAGATGATCTGCTCTACCGCCTGAGCTACAGCCACCCCCAATAGTGAAGATTATTTTGAAAAATATCAAGATGTAGATCAGTTTCGAGATCAACTCCAAAATAGATCATCAGTCAGTCAGTAATAAGTGAGTTCTTTTTGTTTGAAAGGTTTTTTTTACTCTTAATGTTGCTGAAAAATGTCAGAACTCAAGTTCTCATTTGCATCAGAGTGCACAAATAACTTCATTTTTACACACTTTTAATTTCACCTGCAAATGTGAGCAACATGCCCTCATTACAGACTTTAACTAAAACTTTATCTTCTCAGAAGTGTTTTTCTATAATTACATTTTTTTATTGTTCGTTTAGACCTCCACCAGCAAACTGCCTGTAAGGAGGAGGAGTTTGTCGCCAATCAGCAGGAGAGGAACTCAAGTCTGGACCAGGAGGACCCAGATCCTCCACAGATTAAAGAGGAACAGGAGGAACTCTGCACCAGTCAGGAGCTGGAGGAGATTGTACTGAAGCAGGAGATCAATAGTTTTATGGTGACTTCTAGTTTTGAGGAAAGTGACCTCAGTGAATCAGAACCAAACGATGACCAGCTCCTTGCTCTTAACTTTCCTGAACCAGAGCTTGAGGAACAGGAAGAAAACCAGCATGTGGACTCGGGATCAACTAGAAATGCGGAGCTGAAGAAAAGGAGACGTCACAAAAACCGAACAGATAAGTCTCGGAGTGAAACTGATACAAGTAAAAAATCTGTAAGCTGTGACACTTGTGGAAAAACTTTTCAGTGTAAATCCAACCTGACGAGACACATGAGAGTTCACACAAGTGAGAAGCCACATTCTTGTAGCACCTGTGGGAAAAGATTCATTTGGAAATCAGGATTGGAAACTCACGTAAGGATCCACACAGGCGAGAAGCCATATTTTTGCATCACCTGTGGGAAAAGATTTAATAAGAAATCCGGATTTGAAAGTCACGTGAGAATCCACACAGGCGAGAAGCCGTATTTCTGTAGCACATGTGGGAAAAGATTTGGTAAGAAATCAGGACTAGAAACTCATTTGAGAATCCACACCGGTGAGAAAGCGTATTCTTGCAACGTCTGTAGGAAAGAGTTTAGAGACTTGTCGACTATGAAAAGTCACAGAAGGATCCACACAGGTGAGAAACCATATATTTGTAGCTTCTGTGGGGAAAGATTCAGTTGGAAATCAGGACTGAATTTTCATCTAAGGATCCACCTGAGTGACAAACCAAATCACTGCAGCACCCGAGGTAGAAAATGACCTCATGCTCCAAGTCACGGTACATTTCCTGTCCACAGCAGTGAAGGGCACTCTATGTTGTTTGTTCCAGCCCTGACTTTATGTTTCTCTAAGTTTGATATTTTTTTTTATTGGTCTTTAAAGGTGACACAAATATTTATTGAACATGGATGCTCTTTTAATATTTACCACAGAAACTTGTATTTCTTCTTCAGTATAGAAGAAAACAAACATGAAAATGAGTTTTTCATCACTTGTTCCTTGTAACAACCATGATGTGATTCCTTTTTATCAGCCAATAAATAAGTTTTGATACACAGGACTAAAGATTTAAAAAAGTTCAAGACAAGTATACAATTTTTATTTAAATATGTTTTCTTTGTGATTGATGTTAATGAAGGTTATACTTCAGTATGGCTTTGACCTGGTTGTCCTGGTTCTTCTTAGCAACATGTTGCAAGATTTGATTAAATTTTTTGTGACTAATTTTGTGTATTGTGTAATCCCTGCTAAATAAAAGCAGTTAAATGTGCTATATTGGCTCATGATAAGTGTTTATATCATTTTGCCTAAATGCAAGTAAACTCAATGTTTGCCAACTCTGTGTGTGCAGTTTGCTTCATAAGTACAGTAACAGAACTTA